ATTTTTTGTCATATGCCGTACTTGATGCTAAGCCTTCTGACAGCATATTGCATGCCTCAGAGTGAATATCCACAGTGGCAGTTCTGCAGATTGATTGGCGTTCTCTTGCATCTTCTTCATCTTCATGGAGTATGGCTCGTTCACCAGGTTTCAGTTAATTAGAGAACACAGACAGCCTTATTCCATGGTAATCTTTCCATGTGTCTCATTAAAATGTCCTTTAGCATCTGTCCCTGAAATATGTCTTGCAGCTTGGAGTTCGTTTCTGGCAGCCTGAAAGTGGATTGCGGGTAGCTCTGTTAGCATAGCCATCAATGGTCTAGTTGTGCACGGCCAGTCTGGTGGCATGACATAGTCCTGTGGGTAGAGTAGACTTCTAGTCTATATGGGCAGGGTATAAATTGAATGAATAAATAAAGAGAGAGAGAAAGAAATCCAGGTGGCAATTGGAAATCATGTCGGAGTGGCATAAAGGCTTGTGTTGTGTTGCCTGCAATTGTTGGTAACTGTACCTTCCCACTAGGCGCTTAAACCCAGCTCAAGACTAACACTGTAGTTATATTAGAGGCAGAGTGAGATGGTCATGAAAGAGCAGAAGGTTGTCAGTAATTTGCTTTGCTATTTTAATGCCAGACGTTGGGAGAGGTGTTTGTGGCATTTTATGCCTCATGGGCCAAAATAGTTTGGTTGGCTCTGGGTCCTTTGCATCTTGCTCAAGTGAGAGGGGGGTGCCATTTGTTGCTATGCCTTAGGCAGCAAAATGTCCTGGGCCACCCCTGCCCAGCATTACCTAGTGTTGGTGCCAGGGAGAGATTTGGGTTCTGTTTCTAAATGAAGACCTAAACCTCTTTGACTGGAGGTTTCTGAAGTGTGTGATTAGAACTAGGGTTTTAAGCTCAGCCCAGGGACGTGGTGGCGCTGTGGGCTAAACCGCAGAAGCCTATGCTGCAGGGTCAGAAGACCAAGCAGTCGTAAGATCGAATCCACGCGACAGAGTGAGCTCCCGTCACTTTGTCCCAGCTCCTCGCCAACCTAGCGGCTCGAAAGCATGCAAATGCGAGTAGATAAATAGATACCACCTCGGTGGGAAGGTAACAGCGTTCCGTGTCTAAGTCGCACTGGCCATGTGACCACGGAAGATTGTCTTCGGACAAAACGCTGGCTCTATGGCTTAGAAATGGGGATGAGCACCGCCCCTTAGAGTCGAACACGACTGGACAAAAATTGTCAAGGGGAACCTTTACCTTTACCTTTTTAAGCTCAGCAGCAGCCAGAATATGTATTCAGACCACTTTGCCAGAAAACTGGGTCTTAGGATTTATGTGAGATTTCACCAATTCAGAGTAGTGATAATACAGGCTTAACCATAGCTAATCACTCACAGACACCTCATCATTGAATGGGAGCAGTGCCCCCCACCATCAAATTCTAGGGTACGCCTCTGCTTAAAACATGAGCTATCCCCACAGCATCTCTTCGCACAGCTAAAGGGATCCTGTGGCAAGGTTTTAAGAAGTTCTCATCAAGCTGAATTCTGGTCTCAATTCTTGTAAAGCAAGAGTGTCCTTCTGTAGGTGTTGTCAGTGGCTCTGTAAAGGAAGAACCCTTTGCGAATGAGAAACTGAAGACTTGGGCCTTCTGTTACCCCAGAGCAGGGTGTTGTAGCTTGCAAGAGGAAGAGATCCTTTGCATGCGGACAATTGGAGGTCCGATCTTTCAGCCTCTTTAACTAAAAAGGCTTCAGAATCAGGATTGGGAAAAGTCCTTGCCTGAGGAGCCCTTCAGCTGCTGCCAGTCAAAGTAGACAGTACTAGGCTAGGTGGGCCCATATGCCAATTCAGTATCGGGCGGCTTTAGATGTTCACATACACTTTCCCTTCTCTGTGAATTAAAATAAATTCCTAGATTACACTTGTAGTAACTAAGCCTCTCCTCTCTGTGCCATGCTAACATTTTGCACAGAACACATAGCTCATGTAGGTATCATTCTTTCGAAGAGAGAGGGCCCAAAGCTGTCTTGTAGCCCCTTGATCTCTGTGCAGGGCTGAAAAGGCCATGACAAGCTGTGGCACCACTCTGGCCTTGAGCTGAGATCTAATACATGCCTGACTCTGAGGAGTTCTTAGAGCCAAGGATTATTAGAGTGATGCTATGGCAATTTTCAAGGTCATCCTCCCACAATGCCTGGCTCCAAGGATGCAGCAGAGCCTGAAATTTCTGACTGAGAACCTTCACAGATATTACTTACAATATTTTCACTCTGCCTTTCCCCTTAAAACAGGGGTTTTAAACTGAATCTATCTGGGGGCCGCTGGAGGCAGAGTCTGGGTGAGGCTGGGCCGCATCAGATTTTCCACCAAGCGGAGCAAGAGCCCGAGGAAGCCGCTCAGGAGTTTCCTTAGCCGACAGACAGGTGGGCGGGCTGGCAAGCTGTAGTTCTGGATGGAGGGTGCAAGAGGTGCTGTCTTGAGAGAGAGCCGGCGAGCGAGGCAAGGCTTTTTTTTACTCTTGACAGCAGAGGATGTGTGGGCGCTTTGGGGGGGACAGGCAATGCGAGGGCCACAAACTATCATCTGGGGGGGGCGCAAATGGCCCCTGGGCCGCATGTTTGAGACCCCTGCCTTAAAACGATCCAAGGCAGCTACCTCTGCTTCATGGTAGGACCCCTCCTTGGGTTCCTATTTTTCTTTGTTTCGGTGTACAGTATTGTGTACCTTTTGATGATGCTTTATCAACTTGTCCCCCTCACAATGAATTCTGGGTACTGGGTGGTTTTACCACCCATTCCCAATTGCGGTACTCAACAATTGTATCGATTGTAGCCAAGGGCGAGATTTATAAGCTAGTGAACTCCTGTCTTCCCAGTTTGAATCAAAAAATTGCTCACCACAGTTTATTGGCTGTGGCCAATAAACAGATACCTTGTAATCATTACAGGGGAGTAAAAGGACTTGACCTGTGTTTTGTTTTGCTGCTGTTGCTGTAACTGTAAATGTTGAAATAGTTTGGAAAGTTCTACCATTTAAACAAGTAAAATTTCATAATTAGTTTACAGTCCTGCAGGAAATATCTTTCAGAAATCTGAATCTTGGTGCACTGGCATATTTTGCTTAAAAGGGTCTTACAGAAGGATATTTTTGGGTTTTACCATAGACTAGATGCCGTCTTCTTTTTTGTGTGTCTTAGAGCAGCCCCACATAACTGAAAACCCACCATCCTTATATGGCAATCCACCAGAGATGTAGTTAATCTCCTGCTCTTTGCCACTTGCCCTAGATTATTATTACTTTAAAGATAACAAGAGAGACTGTTGCCAATCACCTCATATGGCTGGTGGGCTTTGTTCAGCTTGATGACTTGCATGTTGTGGAGCGGCTATATGAGTTGTTGCTCATTTTATCTGAACAGGCATTGTTCTTGTGAACTAGATACATATGTGTGCACACTTTTGCTTCTAGCCTCTTATGGGAATTTGGAGCTTAGTTAATTAAGTTCAAGATGTAATACCGGGACTGTTATTTTGCTGTCTGCTGCTAAGTGTGATGTGTGTGTATGATGTGCAACTTCAGTTAGGCCACATTTTGAATAAATGTAAAAATAAATAGCAGAAGTTTTCTTGCTAATAATAATTAAAAACTTAAAAATTAAGGTAGCTTCCTTTGGAGAGACCTCAACAAATCCAGGCTGCCTTATGGAGAAATGATGAACTATATTCAGATGCTTAAAGCCATTATGTCAGAGGAGATCAAGATTGAGCTCAGCAACTGCCAGGGTGCCCACTTTGCTCTGGCTTTCCCTGCCACTTGCCCATCACAGCTAATATGTACATACTAGCATAGGGCCATATGCTGGACCAGCATACTCCACATTGTTCTGGCTTCTTTCCTTTTGAATATAGCACAGGATATATGCAGGTAAATTGCTGTTTATGTTTCTCTGGGACACGCTGTTATTACTCCAACTTCGTGGAGTATTAAGGTTTGTAATTTCTTATGGAATATGATTGTGGGTGATTATTGACTGCTCAGTGTTATCTGTGATGCTTATACCCAATCCAATATACAGTATTGTTCATATTGATTTAATCTTGATGTATATTGAGCCTCCACTTGGTAGCCATGTCTAATGGCTTTCTGTTCATGGAGGTTATTTGGCCATCCTGGAAAAGATCTGCCAGTAAGCCGCCTGATACTTTTAACCAGACTGAGTTGTTTGGCAGCATTGAAGGATTTGGTCTGCAGTCTGTTTCTGCTGTGAGATAACTATTGAGGTGAAGATTCAGAAAATAAGGATGAGGAGCCAAGGTAGAAGGAGGAGCAAAATCAGCTAAATATGGGTTGAAGTATGAGCAACGTTTTGCAACACAGTAGGAGTTTTCGAGGTGGGAGTTAACCTCCAGGAACATTGTGAAAAGCTCCCTACCATTGGAAGCCAGTTCTGGCCTGTCAAATTCATGAGGAGACAGCGGGAAATTCTTCTAGCTTTCAGGGTAAAAATAAATGTGACCTGGGAGATCTGTGTGTGTATCTCCCTAACATTAAACAAATGTTAGAAATAGCTGGGGGCAGGGGTGTATTTTATCTTGATTGAATCTATGGTGCTGATTGCTTTCCCCTTGCTGTTCCCCTAATCTAAATATCTCTTCACCCTCAGATGCTATTAGCTCTGTTGGGCATGATGCTCCAGCAGGATAAGTAGCAGCATCCCAGTAACTGTTTGCTAGATCAGGGGAGTGATAAAAAGCATAAAAGGGCTACGCCACATGATTACAAGTCCTTCTGCTCTGATTTTATCACTGGGGAATGCAATTACTTTTAGGTTTGATAAACAACAAGAGATCTGGTCCTAGATCTCTGATATCAGATTCACTTTTGTTTTCAGCGGCTAAATTGGCAGATCTGTGCCATGAGGCGACAAGGAAACAGATGGATTTTGCAGGGTTTTTCTGTCTTTATTATTGTTCCTCAGCTTTGAGTAACCCTGCTTTCTCTTTCCTGCAGTGTGGAAGGAGACCCTCCGGGAAGTGAGGCAGGCACTATAGTGGACAATCTGAGTAGTCAGCCTCCATACCGCTGTGCCCCTGAGGTGACCAAAGCTGAGCACTACGATTTGGCTCCATCCTCATCGTCTTCCTCTGTGTGTCACACTCCATCCCCGGGGCTACCGTGGGCACAGCGTGCTCGGCTACAGCCAGCCAGTGTGGCGCTGAGGAAGCAGGAGGAGGAGGAGAGCAAGCGTTCTAAGGCACTGTCGGACAGCTATGAGCTCTCGACGGATCTTCAGGATAAAAAGGTAATCAGTTACTTAAGCTCATAAATGATACAGGAGTAGGAACCCCACAAACAGCAAGCAGCGTTTTATACTTGAAAGCAGGAGCAGATTCCCATTTGGGAAGGGCCTCCACATCGCATTCTGAAGGTGGGAGGGGGAAAGGATTTTGAGCCTTATGTATTTTCCAACTACTGTATGAAATCAGAGTTGAAACAGCTGTCTGGGTATTGGGCTGTGCATACACCTTTCAGTCATTTCTAGCCTCTTCCAAATGCGCCATTGTAGGGCCTAGACAGGTAGACTCTGACCTAACATTTTCATACCTGTTTTCTTGATAACAATGTGAGACCTGTTTTTTATGCAATCTGCCAAAGTTTGTTTGACCTGAGTCTTGGGGTAGGGTTACAGCTTGGCTGATCATCGAGCACTGATTTCCAAAGCTGAAAAGTTACTTGGTTTGAAAAGAAGAGCTGCTTTTTTCAGTACTCATAGCAAGGAGAGGATTTGGGCATGACTCTGAATCTCTTCCTTAGTCTCCTGAAGGGAGACTTTATTGAGGGCCTTAGTGGGCCAGACGATCTCTTCCTCAGTCTCCTGATCTGAGCACCCCTGTCTTAGAGAAGGGACTTTATTGAGGGCCTTAGTGGGCCAGACAGGGCGGCCTTGCAGGCATGACCTGGCATGGACGGAACATTTTGCACCCTTGATCTAATAGTTAGTCCATTTACTCTCATGGCCGGCATGAGATGTTTGCAGGATGGAGGTTGGCTTAATTGCTGTTCTCACTTTGCTCAGTGCCTTTGTTGCCCAACCCCAAGCAAATGACTGTGCAGACTTCATAAATACTTAGTTTATAGGGAGCTCTTTTGAAGGTTGAAACAACACAGTTGAGAAATGTGTTGTTTGTGGTCTGTCTGGAAGCCCTATAAGAGACATTTCCCTCCTCCCAGTCCCCTACAACGTGAAGAACAGATGAGGCAGAGAGAGAACAAGGTAAATACGTGATTGGGAAGGAAAAGAAGCTGGGTGAGGGGCAAGATTTTTATTTAATTTCTCCAAGCTCTGGCTGGAGTAGACAGACCACAGGTTTGTCTCTGTGCAAGGCTGCTTCATATTTCCCAAGGGGATGGAAAAGAAAGAACTCTGCAGATTCATGTGCCCTTCCTCTCCTTCACTGGTTGCCAAAGCCCACTGGGGCAACTTTGTTCAAAGGTCTGCAAGACCCACTTACCTCCTTTATTGGTAGGTTCCTCCCAACCTTTATCGATAGGTTCCTCCCAAGCTACCTGCCTCTTGATTCTTCACAAACATCCTTTTAACTCAGATTGTTTCCCTTACCTGAAGTCCCGCCACCACCTTGACTGATTTTCTGCATCTCTGTGCAGGTGGAGATGTTGGAGCGGAAGTACGGAGGCTATTTCCGGAGCCGGCGGGCAGCACGTACCATCCAAACAGCCTTTCGCCAGTACCGCATGAACAAGAAGTTTGAGCGTCTACGAAGCTCAGCCTCTGAGAGTCGCATGTCACGGCGCATCATCCTCTCCAACATGCGGATGCAGTACTCCTTTGAGGAGTATGACAAGGCCCAGAACGCCCCTTACTTTGAAGGCAAACCGGCATCTCTGGATGAGGGGACCATGGCTACAGCTCGGCCTCACCTGTTGGACCGTGGCATGCCCTACGGCGGCTCCTGCCGGACTGGTTTGGATGGCGACTCTTTGCATTCCTCTTCCGGAGGCTTCTGCAATGACATCACTGAACTTGAGGACTCCTTCTCCAAGCAGGTAGCCTACGTTGAAACTTTTCTGTTCCATGCTCTCCCAAGGCCCCCAAACCAGCCACTTCTTTCTCTCTGATGTTTTGAGACTCTTCCATAGCTCCTTACCCTGTCCCTCTTTGCTTTCCCTAGCTTGGCCATGTCCTCTTAATTGCTCCTCTAATGCTCTGCCTTTGCTGCCCTCAGCCCTTTCCAAATCCCACCTTGTCCTCTCTGCTGTCAGGGCACGTTCTGCTTCTTATAATCCAATCCAGAGTTGGAGAACATCTGGCCCCATACTGTTTTTTTTACAGCCCTCGAAATCCCAGTCAGTACTGTCTCCAAGACGCTTCCCTTCCTCTCTCCCTCCTCCTCCCCTCCCTCCCTCCCTCTCTTTCATTGCCCATCCCTAGAGTATTATCTAGGCCCCAAATCAATTGTCCTATAAATGGATTCCAAGATTTAATTTCTGCATGAGTGGTGTTGGTATCTCTTGGGAAATTTCAGCTTCCTTTACTTAAAGAGATATAATACTTGAAGATAGAGGGCAGGATTATTTGCTAGAAACAGCCATTAATCTGGTAGGTGGCACTTGAATGAAGAGTCCTTCTCCCCTTCCACCCAGCCATCCCTGAAGCATATGAACATGCGGTTTTTAAATGTTTCTGAGGCCAGAACAGAGGAACTGCATTTAAAATATATATTTATCACAAATTTCTAGACAATCTGCCCTCTTTCAGGGAATATCCAGACCTCCTCCCTTATATTTTTACTTCCCACGAAAAACAAAAGTAAGTCTGTGGCTCTTTTATTTTTGGAGATAATATTGAAAGATGTGCCAGTTGTGTTCTGGCTGATTGCTAAATAGGGAGTAAACCTGAGTTCTAGGTTTCTCTTAGATTGTTTTCTTGTGTGCTTAGTTAAATGACCCAAGTCCCTGCTTTCCTTTCAAAGTAGGCATGATTACAACAGAAGTCAATAAAGATTCACACTGATACTGAATGGTGTCTGAATGTGGGTTGTATGGGGTGCAGGTACCTCACTAGGAGACTTTGCATCCCAGAATTGGCTGTGAGCAGCTCCATGGGCATGATTGTTAGCACCAAGGGGATCCTATCAGCAGTAGGGACCTAAAATGGGGTCTGCCATGGGTGGGTCACACTCTAGATCAGTGGTTCTTAACCTGTGTTACTCGGATGCTTTTGAACTGCAACTCCCAGAAACCCCAGCCAGCACAGTTGGTGGTGAAGACTTCTGGGAGTTGCAGTCCAAAACTCCTGAGTAACCCAAGGTTAAGAACCAGTGCTCTAGATGGCCTTGGGTCCTCTAGCAGTAATGTCTTCCCACTCTCCAGAAGGGCTAGACATAGGGTCTGCAATATATGTCAAGGTGGATCTGGCATAGCTTGTAGTCACCCCTTTTAGGATTTCACTATACTGTACTTTCTTACATATTATCTGCCAGTGTCTTTTTATTTTATTAGGACATTGTTCAAAATGCTATTGGTCTTCACATAAGGTTTGCATCGCTTGCAGCAGCTAATTGATGAGGTGCTAGATTGTGTCTCAGTTGTGCAGTTAGGTGCGATGACCAAGCATCAACCAACTCATACTCCAGAACTTTTGTCAATTAGCTGTGCAAAGTTCACAAACCATATGTGAATGCCAGTAGGATTCCATTTACTGTTTGATTTTTAAATTATAGTTGTTTCTTCTTCGGTTGTTTTTATTCTATAAACAGAACATTTTTATATTTTGAAAAGCAGGATTCATATCATCATTGTCATCATCTAAAATATAAAAAATACTTACTGTGTAATCTGCCTAGTTTGTTTGAAATGTTTTTCTACTAGTATCATTATAATAATTTGTCTGTGGCCCTCTTGCATGAATTTACTGGCAACAATACTGGGAAGAAGGGCCAGGGTGAAGCAGACCCCTTAGGCAGTGAAGCGGTGAGGACTTTAGCTAAGCCACCATTGTTATACTCTTGCTGCTACCTGAGCCTTCGCTTACCAGCCTCTTTCTCCTACCTGCTGCTGTCTGCCTGCTCCCATAGTGCAGGCACATTTTTTACCTACTGGGTGAATGACATCTGGCCCTAAGGGCCCTGTGCCAGGCATTTTTTCCTCCTCTTTCTCATAATGCTTTGTCCCTAAGGGCCCTTATGGGCAGCTACGAGAAAGAAGGAACTGCTCCTGTCTCCTCACTTCCTCCTTCCCTCCCCATGGGTGTTACAGCATTGTGGAGGAACAGTGTCAAGGGGTGGTTGCAGTGATTTTCTTCCTAGGCAGTGTGCTGACTTCATTTGTTTGTTTGTTTGTTTGTTTGTTTGTTTGTTTGTTTGTTTGTTCATGCATGCATGCATGCGTGCGTGCATGTATGTATGTATGTATGTATGTATGTATGTATGTATGTATGTATGTATGTATGTATGTATGTATGTATGTATTTGATGGCAATCAGATGGTGTCTTTGCTGGAACAGACCAGCCTGCCTATAGACCATTTCTACCCACACCTTTCTAGCCCTACTCAAGAGACTTTTACTTTTCTGGTGTGGGTAGGATTTCTCTGGTTTGGATTGATTCCAGCGCATATGATTGCTGGAACCTATCCAAAGCAGACCTTCCTCTTTCAATTTGCCAGTATCATGAAGTGGCTTAACGAGCAAACCACTTCCAGATATTGGCAAATTAATCAATTCCCTTGCTTAGCAGAGGGATGGGAGGTGAAAAAGAATATTTTTGACTGTATGAAGACTATAGCTGATGCTACATTAGTTATACATTAAAAATATCTTTTCTTTGCCTCACCTTAAAGGGCTAGTCAAGAAAGCATCCACAATCAAATCAATGGTGGTGGTTTCATCTGAAGGCAGTTTCTTGAACAGCCCTTTAAGAGAAGTCAAATAAAAGGTTTTCAAAATTCTTTTAAATAACTGATGCAGCACGTAATAGTCTTCATACAGTCAAAAACAACTTTTTCCCCACTTCCTCTACTCTGCTGAACACGAGAAGTGATTACAGTGGTGCCTCGCTAGACAGTTACCCCGCATGACAGTTTTTTCACTAGACATTGACTTTTTGTGATCGCTATAGCGATTCGCAAAACAGTGATTCCTAGGGGGGAATTTCGCTGGACAATATTTGGTCCCTGCTTCGCAAACCGATTTTCGCTAGCCAACAATTTTGACAGCTTCCTTCGTGCTCGCAAAACAGATGTTTTTGGGACCCAAGCTTCTCGACAGCGATTTAAACAGCTGATCGGCAGTTCGCAAAGTGGCTTCCTATGGCCAATCTTCGCTAGACAATGATGATTCTTCCCCATTGGAACACATTAAACAGGTTTCAATGCTTTCCAGCGGGGAAATGCTTTTCGCTAGACAATGATTTCGCTAAACAGCGATTTCAGTAGAATGGATTATCATCGTCTAGCGAGGCACCACTGTAATTTGCCAATATCTTGAAGTGGCTCACTTATTAGGGAGCTTCATGATGTTGGCAGGAACTACCATGTTTCCCTGAAAATAAGACAGGGTCATATATTAATTTTTGCTCCAAAAAACTCATCAGGGTTTATTTTCAGGGGATGTTTCATTTTTTCATGTACAACAATCTACATTTATTCAAATATAATCATGTCATCTTCTGGTTGCTGCACAAGGGTGGAGGGCGGGGGTTCATTTAACTAGGGCTTATTTTTGGGGTAGGGGTTATATTACGAGCATCCTGAAAAATCATACTAGGGCTTATTTTCAGGTTAGGTCTTGTTTTTGGGGAAACGGGGTATTTCCATGTGAATGGTCAGGCTTGATTAGATCATTCTAATAAAGCCCAGCCGTTCCCAATTGGCCCACACTAGCTCGCTCCTTACTCCTAATGTAATCATATGCTGACTTGAAAACAAGTTTATAACAGATTCAGAAAAGGTCAAAAAGAAGTAGCAGGAGCATGAAGTAGGGTTTCCAATAATGAAGGAGAATATCAAGAGCCTCAAAACAGTTCCTTCTCATATCATTTGCAAACACTTCTGCTAGTTTAATAAATGCCACACAAGCCATTCACAACAAATTCAGATAGAGACCAATATACTTTAATCTGTTAATTTAAATTGTTGTGCTGAAATATGAGAGATTGAACAGTGATAGTCTCAATGATTGCAACCTCTCCTCAAATTTTCATCCCTTATTGTTGTATGCCCCTGTACCTCAGTTTTTGGCAGTAACATACGGTTGCAACGTGTGCCTGTCCATTGTGGCTGTTGTCCACTTTTTCTCTTCTCCTTTTTTCTTCAGCAATACACAATTGCAATTCTTGGCTGTCTGATATGAATGTTAAGGGCCAGTGTACCTTTAATTAAAACTTTCTCAGCTTCTTCCTCTACTAATGTTTTCAGATCAGTACAATAAGAGGATCAGTGATGAATTGCCTCTAAATAACTTTTTATTCTCTGCAAAAATGGAAGGAGTTTAATTACCGGCCTTTTCTCTTTATTTTTCCTCTTTCCTTTTATTGCAAACTAATGCTGTTTTAATATTTGTCTAAGTGCAAGGGAATCAGTAATTAAAATGTCACATGCAGACTATAGAAGAATCCTAATTAAGGGACAGTTCATCACTAATTCCACAACTATGGTAACTGGAAGATATAAAGCAGGTTAGACTTGCGAAGAAGAGACTTCTAATTAAAGTTACAGGAGGCCTTTGACTCGAGAATGAGCAATGGAAGATCTTGCTGTACAAGATAGTGGCTTTTTAAATGCATGTGTGGAATCCAGTATGAACTGGCATCATACTATAGAGAAGCAATACTTCAGCAGAGCTGATGCCATGTTATATGTTTTCTTTTTTTTTCAAACTGATGTAGATAAATTGAAGCAATCACGACTCTGCTGCAGTTCTGTGGGTTCTGTGCTTTGATTCAAGGCATATTTTTTGCCTTGCAGCAAATTGTGCCATGCAGACTACGCAGAGCTTTGACTTTCAAAGAGATGTACACTTTTGCTTAATTCATATGGGGGCACAGAGAAGTATATTTCCTTTAGTGCAACATTTTTTGTCCCATTCTTTCTTTCTCTTTCTTCTTTAGTGCAGAGCAGAATCCGCCCTGGCTAATTTTCTTCTGTGCCTCCTAACAGGTGAAGTCTCTGGCAGAGTCAATTGATGAGGCATTGAACTGCCACCCCCTAGGGCAAGAGGGAGGGCCCGGAGGCCCCACTTTGGAGAAAAGTGAGTCTAAGGAGCAGCAGGGTGACAGTGCAGCAACTTCGTTCAGTGACGTAACTCTGTATTTGGATGAAGGAGCTCCCACGTCGCCCCTCTCGCTGGAGCGTCCACCCAGCACGGAGCCCCCCGAGCCCACCACAGGAGTGCCCCTCCCGCCACCCCCACGGCCAGAGTACTGGGGTGGGCCACAGCGGGAGGACAGCCGGGAGAATGGGGGAGCCAGCCGGCGCAGCACCCCTTGTATGGAATGCCGGGATTACCGCCTGCGGGGTGCCCACCTCCCTTTGCTCACCATTGAGCCTCCCAGTGACAGCTCAGTGGATCTAAGCGACCGTTCGGATCGGGGCTCTCTCAACCGGGGCCTCATTTTTGAGCAAGACGGTTGCAGTCCTCACGGCACCCTCAAGCACGCCGGGGCGCCCGCCCGCTCCCCACACCCACACCGGCATTATCATCCCGAACAGAACCAGGTGCCCACCTCCCTTTGCTCACCATTGAGCCTCCCAGTGACAGCTCAGTGGATCTAAGCGACCGTTCGGATCGGGGCTCTCTCAACCGGGGCCTCATTTTTGAGCAAGACGGTTGCAGTCCTCACGGCACCCTCAAGCACGCCGGGGCGCCCGCCCGCTCCCCACACCCACACCGGCATTATCATCCCGAACAGAACCAGACC